ACGCTTCTCTCTCAGGTCAGCCATCACAAAACTGCAAACTCATGGAAACACAACAATGGAAATACATTCACCAACAATAAACCCAACCACTCAACTCGACGCCGCTTGCCGCACTGATTCAAGAAGGATGTGTGAGGAGACACCTAGCGGTATTTCGATGTACTCATAACCATTCGCTCGCAAAATTCAAATTTTGGAAACTTTTGGATTGCCCCACGTATAAGTCTTGTTGAAAAACTTAAGTAGTTTCTCCGCCTCCTTTCCAGAGGTATCAGCATCATCTCTTACAGAAAGTGAAAAGCAGTGTACACAGGTAACATTCAGTTCTTTGTATATGACATCTGAACAGAAGGGGCCTACCATTATTAGTTGCATATATCCAATATCTTGAGATAAAATTGCACTCATAGGAAATAATGCACTTTTGTTGCAGATATTGGTGGGAAGGCCATATATTTGAAGATTTTGTAGGTGAAAAACTGGATATATATGTACATAGCAAAATTGTAGCCCATGGGACCAAATAACATGGTTAAGTGTGTAGTACTCCTGATTCATATTTGGGAAGTCCTGGATTCAAATCTCAGTCCCTGTGGAGAATAAGTTACAAAGATAATGTGATTAGTTAATCATATGCACTGGTCAGCATATATAACATATTTTAGAATAATATACTTTTTATTAGCAGTCAGAATTAAATACATTCTTTAAGCTAATTTGCTAATTTAAACACTGTCCTCGTGTGTTTATTGTATCGTGATGAGGGCTCCTCCAGTGAGAGATCCTCTTCAACCATCAAGTAGATCTGCTGGCCATAATTTCTTTAACCTTCTTCGTTGTTGTTGTTGTTCCAGTAGGGGCTGCAGTAATGTATTGATATGGTGTCCTAATTTATCATAATGTTGTATGCTTTTTTCTTGGATGACTTCTTTGATGAATGGTACATTGAGATCATCATATAGGGTCTGATTAGTCACATACCAAGGTGCATTTGTGATCATCCGCAGTATTTTGGAGTGCCTTCGTTGCATTATGGCTATTTTTGATTTACTGGCGCATCCCCATAGTTCGACTCCATAGGTCCAAATAGGCTTTATGATTGTCTTGTAAAGAAGTACTTTACTATCTAGCGATGTG